CAATTTACCAGCATTAAGAGTTGTTAATAAGACAAATCTTTTCGTATTCTATTTGTTTCTTCTCCTTGTAAATTTTCATGAAATCTATGTTTTTTTGTAGTTGTTTAAAATTAAAATTATATATCATATTAATCATTCCACTCTTACCTGCAATATTCGTGTCAAGGTTGCAAATTACATTCTTTTTTCTTAAATAAGTACTTTATTATTCTTTAGTAAAATATTTTCTGCTATGAAAAGAAAGTTCGAGTTAATAAACAAATACAACTGATTTATTCATATCTGAAATGATCTTCCATGTATTTTCTTTTTGTTGTTCAAAAATCATTCTCGACATATTGTAAAAAATGATATTGTGAAAACATGTTTTTTCTTTTGTTCTATAGATTATATATAATCTATATTTTGAACAAGACCAACTGAATTTATTAGATTTTTAGCAATCGATATAATAAAAATCAATGACAAGGAGAAGAAAAGAATTTTCAGATATTACTACACTATTGCCTCTATTTTGAGATGTTATAATAAGAAAAAGAAAGATAAAAGAAAAAAGAGATAGTTTTCGTATATCAAGTGAAGTAATGTTTAATTTTCCGCTCTCTATTATTATAGTTGAACAGAAACAATCTGTTCTAGACAATGATGTAAAAAAATATTTTTTTCTAAACTAAACCCGTGTACTTATAAGAGTCTTACGCACAATTAAAAAGAAAATGAGTGACAGGTTTATAAATAGACTTAGTCTCTTGCTACAGAATTCATTCCTTTGTTTAAAGAAAAATTATAGAGTAGAAAAAGTTCCTTATACCTATTAGTATATAGTAACATGGATTGCATGAGTCTGAAGTAGTAGATTGCTTTCCTGTTTTAAAAATAGTATAGTCTAGCAACTAAATTTAGCAGAAACAATTTGATCATCAATTTCTGTATGAACTTATTCAAAAAGCATATTAAGAAGAAAGTGATAAAAATTTCAAAAGCTGAAGGTTAAAGGAGTAGTAATGATAAATAAGCCAAATTTATCGTTCAAGTAATCCTACAAATTTTAATATAATCTACTTTTCTTCTACAAGTAGATATAATCAAGATAAAAAAAGATCGATGTTCACTCATTGACTGAAGAATAGAGTATTATTAAACAAAAACTCAGTTTTCTCTTAACGACACTAACGACACAAAATCTCCCTAGGTAGTCGTAAACGAAATTAATTCAACAACAACACGTCACGATGTCGTTTTTCTTGTAGAGGAATTTTTAAAACGACAATATGCTATTGTATACTATTAGAAATAGAATTCGATATTCATTTGATATTCTTTCTACATTCATAGATTAACATACTTTCTTTTCTGTTTCTGTTGGGAAATCAAACGTAACGGCAGTACAACATGTGTATACGAATAACTTGTTTAAATTAATATGTTTTTCATAATTACAAAAGACTGCTTTATGCATCAAACATAGTAGAATAAGTTGGTGTATAATAAAAGTAAAAATGTCTCTGGACGATAAGCGGATTTCTAAACTTCCCATATAATAGTTACAAACAATTGAAGATATATAAAAAAAAAGGAAATACCAACTTTTATTAAAGGTTTGTGTACAGCAAATGAAAAAAGTTAAAAAGTATCACAACGTTGATTATGAAGTATGGAGAAAAGCTGAAGTGATAATATGCCAACAAATTTTTTTCGTTAGTTTCTTTAATCGATAATTATTTGAAGTTTAAGCAAATTCGTTGTTTTTTATACAGTACACATTATAAGTTGACTACTGCTTTTTGGAATCGATGACTGATAAGGAGGGTTTCTTGTTGTAATAGATATAACATCGAAAATCATCGTACCTCAAAATATAGTCACTCACTGTTACTACAGAGACAGCATGACTAGATGGTTATGCTGTTTGTCGCTTACTTCAAAAACGCTGACTCGCTGTCGTATAAAAATTCATCTTCTACACTGAAAGGTTGGAAATTGTTTATGGAAAATGCTCAGCGAATTGCAAAGAGTATCTATAGGAATTCCTCGAGGATTTTCCAGTTTATAGAAAATCGAATTTCCAACAATCTAGAAAAACGTCGTTGAATTTCCATAAATAATTCCCAAGAAAGTAGAAATTCCTTTTTAATTTTCTATAAACTGGAAATTCCTGCACCGACTGGCTACGCGCCCAGGTTGTAGTGGGGTTGACCTCGCTCATACTTTTGAGAAATTTCTGATAAACGTCTCAATTGTGGGACCTTTCTACCCAAACTTCGCGCCACTACTGTCTCTGTCAAAATCCAAATACTTGCTGGCATAGGCAGAATTGTGATCTAAAATAGAAACTGTCAAAGCTGATTTAAGTGTAATATGAGTGTCTTTACGTGACGTTCTTATACCTACACTGATTGCAAAACAAAAATATGAATAAGTTTTTGGTCTGGAAATTCATGGGCGAATTTCCACTTTCTAGAAAATCGATCGAATTTTAAATAACTCCCAAGAAACTGGTAGCTCTGGTTATCCGTCCAATAGTCGTATAAGTTAGTCTTCTAGGCAGAGCTGCAGTTGATGATTAGTGGAGATGAATCACTATGTCAGAAACTTGCCAGCTATAGGGAAAATATCGGGCTATTTCAACCAACACTGTCAGCACTGATAGCGGTAGCCTCACGATCCAGTTATCTTCCTTCTTCCACTGTTACTACAAAAAATATTCATTGCTCAATAACAAAACATTTTTTAAAATAAAATTTCCAAGTTCCATCAACTGAAGTTCCCACTCTCTGATGTAGTACAAATCTTTCAGAAAGCTTTTGAACAAATTAGAATTTTTTATATAGTAATAGTATTACAAGATTAGTCAAAGCAGTATTTCGCTTCAGTTTAGTTATTAGTTAATAACCTGTTAAACTACTCGAGCAAATGGAAACTGCCTAGAGTGATCATTTTAGAGAAGCTTGCGAGCTATCCAATATTAAAAGAAATTTTCTTCCAAAAGCCTTTCCCTCGCTTATAAATATCAATATATAATATGACGGCGTGATATACTTGTTTGTCAGTGAATTTTCAGGCACTTAATGTCCTCCAAAAAATTTGATTTTTATATTTGCATAGATTTGGTGATATTCTATCGATTTATCTGAAAAATAAAGTTAAAAAATCTTTTCAGGCTTTTAAATTTGACTGGAACCTTAAAATATCGAAAAGGCATAAGTTTTGTTCCTAAGATCGAATTGTCGAAAAAAATGAACCATTTTGTAGAGAATTTAATTTTCTATCTAATGGTGTAAATTTTAAATTTTTAAGTTTCTAGGTCAAAAATTTTAAATTAAAATTATTTTACTAAAATTTTTATTTTTATTTGCTAAGGAGGTCGGATTCGTAATCAGCGCGAAAAATTGTATCTAGTAATGTGCTCATATTGGTTCGCGAATAATAAAAAATTTTTAAAAACTTAATCATTGAAGTGTCGCGTGATGTGGACTATATAGGATAATAATTTTTATAAAAAAGGAAAATGAATTAAAATATAGATTTTTTCCACAGTAAGTTGAGAGCATACGCTAGCGGTTGCTAATAAGAAAATTTGTTTTTATCAGATCTAAATAAAGTTCGGTTCGCATGATCATCTGCAGGGGGTAACGGGTTAAATAATTTTTTTCTTAGAAGTGGTGTAAAATATAACAAAGACTATCGTTCATTGTACTACTGTATTATTCTAAAAACTACGACGTGAAAAGAAAACTTAGATTGTATTTTCCGTGCTTAAAAAACAAAAGGCTTTTAAAAACTTTTAATAGTGAAAAAACAGAAAGCTTCAAGTACAATAGGAGGAGGGAGACACAGAGCTCAGAAGACTCTTCTATGAAAACTTTAAAAGACCTACAGTTTTTGATTTTTCTTGTCAGAAACAGTTTGTTTTTCTCGTGTTTGGCTCACTATTGCTAATACTAACAAGATAGGACATGAAAATAAAAGATCTCGGAAAATTAGCAGAATGAATCTTGCAAGGAAATAAAGATAGAAAAGACCTCGGAAAAATGTCAATTAAGTATTTCTGCATAAAAGATCTCGGAAAATTTTATTTATTGTTTTATACTGCAGAAAAGATCTTGGAATAATTAATCAATTAATTAATAACAAAAGCTCTCACACCCGCGTATATTATACCTTCCAAACAGTGCAGTCTTTGGCAAAACGATTCTTCAATGCGAAACTTTTTGCAACACTTACAAGAATATGGTACAAATAAAAAAAAGAGAACAAGCTCAGTTTTCTAATCTTGTGGTAATGCTTTTCTTTTTTGGTCGTCCTCTTCCCCTACGTTTACCAATAAGTCGTGGGACAGATCTTGTACCCGACCGATATTAAATGATTTCTTTCGATAAACACAAACATGTTGATCTTTAATGAAATCTGATAAACCGCTTTCATTGTTGCATAAGAGCACTTCATTCCACATGCGACGTAACATTATTAAGTTTACAGTTAGAATGAAGTTGAAAATGTTATGACTTCATAATACTGTGCTTTATGCACATGTTTTCCTTCTAAACTATTCATTATTCCGAGATCTTTTCTGCATACATAGATAAATTTATTTTTCCAAGATCTTTTCTGCAGAATAAAATAATAAATAAAATTTTCCGAGATCTTTTATGCAGAAATACTTAATTGACATTTTTCCGATATCTTTTCTGATTTTATCCAACAAGATAACTAAAAAAAAAATTCTTTTCAAATTTTGTGTGTTCACATTGTACCACTAACATGACACTGTTTAGCACATTTTTGTAATATTTTATTTTTTGCTAGATGCTGAAGAAAACCGAGCACGTGCAAGACACATACAAGATTGACCCTTTTTATAGAATGTTGCTCCGAACCGATGAACAATGTAGTCCAAAAGTAAAATGAATACTTTAATATTCATAGTTTTAGTGTTCTACTGTGCAATGCTCTCAAGTATTAAAAATTCGTTCTGTCTTATTAGTTGCAGCTGATAACGATTACAGTGCAGATGTGGCTGGTACCGCATTATAGCGTTGAACTAATTTTGTTAAGTTCGGTAATTCGGTTGAAAATTCTTTCCAAAAATCTTGAAATTTCGTTTTCGGTTTAACTTTAAGTATGTACAAGGAAAGTTGTTGTTTTATTGTTAATCTTGTATTTGTACTTTCTGCGGCCACAACCGAATTTAACCCACATCTTTCGTCAAATTGACCCAATTCACACAGTGGTACTCGCATGGTTCGGTAAAGGTGAAAACTTAAAATCGATCTACTAACTTTAATTGCTCTAATCGGTACAAAACTCATTAAAATCATACTCGATGATTTCGACCCTTCCGAGCGCTATAGATCATTCGATGCGCCTTAAAAAAGCTCTACAATATGTGTCAATAGGAACTTAAGGAAGCCTGAGAGCAGGTTTTATGGGCTTAATACTAGACGTTTTCGTAGGTCGCGCTATGCCAATGAAACTCCTGGTCACTTTTTTCTATGAAACTAAAGAGGATCTCTAATTATTCATACATTATTCGCCTTGAAAAACTCTACAATATGTGTGAATAGGAAAGTAACGAAGCCTGGCAGCGTCCTTTGTGAATTAAATACTTGATTTTTCCATGAGTCGGGCGTATCAGATTTTCTTCGAGCGATAATTTCGTACCCAGTGACTTGAAATAGACTTGAAATAGCGTTAAACATAAATAATCGACAATGCTTGTACCAGCAGCAGCAGCAGCAGCAGTTTGACTCATTTCAAGTGCATATATCATTAATTTTTCAGCTTTATTCTTTTCGCTATTGGATAAATATTAACTTGACAATAATATGTCCAATTTGCATTAATCATAATACTATGTGTATCACCATAAATTACATCATAATCCATCGTGAAAACAAAAGAGAGAATTACTCATAAAGAATATCACGATAAAAGTATCTACATATTCACCACTATGTTTTGCTTTCATTAAAATATAAAACAAAATCAGAAACGAATGAAATTTAAATCTGTATTTAAATCTGCCTATCTGTCGCTGTGCTAATGAGTTGTAGACGTTGCAAGTGACAGTATTCAGAGAACCGAAAAAAGTGAATTTTTCAGAAAAAATTCATTTTCTCAGAAACGGTGGACGATAGAAAGCTGAAACTTTCACCATATATTCTACAGATGCTAATCTATATGTATCTAAAAAATGTCGGCTAGGAAATGTTTAATTCAGTTTTGCCATGGATTTTGAAGATCACTTATAGATCTTCAAAGATCAGTCAACTTCTTCCTGTGCCGAAAAGCTGGAAATGTGAAAATTATGAAATCTATATCAGTTTTTGATGCTTATTCTCAAAATATAATCGAAAATTTTGTCAAAAGTTACTGGAAGTCGAAATCCCAAAACTGGTTTTCTAGAAAACCACCGGAAAATCAAAGTTACGCAGACCGATTTCTGAATTTACGATAATGTTTTTTTGAAATAAGTTTTAAAACAAACAATCATCTTGAATGGTTGACAGATATGAACTATTGAAACCAAGCAACAAATGAGCGTAGAATAAAAAACTTGTAGAATAAATCTAAAGGACAAACAAAGAACGGTTTGAAACGCGAAAAAGCGCAGCACAGCGTAAACTTGCGAAACGATTTTAGTTGTTTTTGGTTGTAATACAGGTCCATCGGTATAGGACGGCAATACTTTCTCTCATTTTCATTTCTACCTTCAGTAATCTGATCTTCATCGTCGACTTTATTCTGAAAGTCAAATTTTTTCAGATAACAGTTGATTGCACGTAAAAACAACTTACCGTTAGATAAACATCATTCCATTTTTCTCAATCTCTTATTTGTTTCATATTATAATATCAACAGAGCCCTTGTTGTTGTACCAAAACTGTTTTATAAAATTCGTCTGAATCATACGTTTTGTTAATAACTCACGATCAGATACACTAATATCACATAAAAAACGACTAAACGTCGAGTTTCTGATCGATAACAACTAAAAACAGGAAAAACCACACTTCTAATGACTTTATAACTTGACAATATGTTAGAGTTATACTTTCGTTTTTGAATCGTATGAACGATAACGACAACCGATCTTTGATGAAGTTACCCCGATTTTTCATTTTTGGTAATAAGATAAAAATAATTTTAAACCAAATAAAGTTATTTTGCCTGACATATATGTCTATATATGGTCCATTCCAGCCAAAACGGGCATGACTATCTTTTATTTGTTGTTGATTCTTTACAAGAGTTATTTTTCGGAACAAGTTCTTTTACCATGAATATATATAAAAATCTTGGCTCTTCAAGCTCACACCAAAGTAAAGTTTGTTAGCTAATTAGTTAATTAGTGAAAATGTAATTAGCGAATAAATTTCTAACCTTATGACAGAAAAATCCAAGAGTTTTTCAGAATAGACTCTAAGCCATGAACTATATCTATGGCGAAATTTTCAGAAAGCTCGGACACCAAGAAGTGCCTCTTAAAAAACTGATTTTTCACAGATTCCCTCATGTATTGAAACAAAAGTTTTTGTTTTGTCATCATCTCGAGATTCTCAAGAAGAATTTGTACCATTTAGTACTGCTTGGGCACTTCTGATTCAGATACAAGAGCATTTTTCGTTTCTATATTCGCACTCTGTCGCGTTCGCAACGAAACAAAATTTTAGCAGTTTCAAAAAAACCTCGGGCTATTGATTTTTTAGTATGAACTGTCTTCTACAAAATACACGATTGAACAAGCATCACTAGGGTTAAGTTTTTCAGGGTGTCTTAGAGTAACTCTATGCACGTTTGTGATCTAAATAGCACCGTCAGTGAAAGTCACACCTTAGAGATACAGATGCTTAAAGTTTTTCGAATGTCACATCCACAACGCTTCAGAGTCCTATATATGAGAACAAATATATATTGTAAATTATAAGAGCCGTAGCAAATAAGTGATGTTAACATTACTTATTTGCAATGCTCTATCGTATTAGAAAAGAAAAATGTTTGTATACTAATTCGTAAGTAGAACCACCTATTATAAAAGATGTTAACATATGAAATAATAGAGCGCATGTTAATGAAAAATATTCATCACATGTAAAATTACATAAAATATTAGTTTCGCTAACAATGAATTTTAGTGATCAGCACAGATCATTTGAAATCGATTATCATTTATTATTTGACGATTGTTCACCAGAAAAATTATCAATTGTAAATTGTCTATTATCATTTGAATATAAGGACTAGAATGGTGGCGAAAGAATTATTCCCTCTTGTATCTATGAAGACTTGGTGGGTCGGCAAGGTAGACAGATAGAAATTGACGGATTTGGCTCGTATTTCATTTTTTTATTGATTATAGCTTCTTCTAATTTTTTCAAATTCGATTTTCTGTACTCACTTTTGTGTGGGGATCCCAATAAAACAGTCGGAGCCGATGAAAGTACGATAAATATAAAAGTTTTCCTTATCTCGACATTTTACCGAATTTCCATATTTTTATTCTTTTATCAAAAAATATTTAAAAAAAAACTAAAATTCGTGTTTTCCTAGGTAATTCGATGAGCTCTATCCAACAAAATTAGAAAACCGAAAAGAAATTTTCACTCGATTTTTGGATTGCCGTCACCTTGCCATGCCATGAACAGGCTTGTTGTATAGATGTAACCAGTCATATATTTTCCTAGTGTATAAGTGTAAAAGCCTAACGACAGAGGAGTGCTAAGGCTTCTGGAACATAGCGCCCGAACCATGAATTCCCAAGATGTGCCTTAGATCCAGTTTTGTAGAGGACACTTCGGACTATATATGTATGCAAACAAATCCATAGATTTCTATGTCAGCTTTCAGAGAACCGAACTGATTTTTCACAGATCTCCTGAAAAACCGATCTTTGAAATTTTTCCAAATTCGTTCTTGTTTATAAAAACATAGTCTCAGATCTTGGCTAGCGAATGATGAAAATCGCAAGTCTCTATCTTTTATTCCTCTTGAGTTATTCAAAAAATAACCACCGGCCTTGTATTTTAGCGCCGATAATAGTGCAACAAACAATAAAAAAGAAAGAAAAACGAACGGAATATTCACATAGTAGAGACGAACAACACTTTACCGACATGTTCTAAAAATAATCAAGCCGTTGATTTTACTCAACATCGACAGCTGAATCGACCATTTTCCTATATAAAAAACAGTGATCAATCTTCCATTTTTTATCATTTTGCTCAGCCACAACCAAAACACCAACAAATATATTTTACATCTGATAAGCTCAAATCTAGTCCTAATGATCATCAATGTAATCAAGTAAAATTAAAGACAAAAAATTTCCAAGAAACGGCGAACAATATTTATGATACTGTTGGTGAGAGTACAATATTATACTAGTCCTGCTCTCGAAGACTGTTGACAAAAAAGAGAAAACCAAACTAACTTTCTTAATCTGAAATATGAAAAGCTTTGTTTTACTTAGCTCAGCAAGTTCGTTTTCGACAAAGTACTGATTTTTCAGACAAAAAAACATTTTTTTTCTCGGCCAACCGGTCAAATTAATTTTCTTGCGGCCGGTCAGAAATTCCTGACTGGACCGAGCCGGTTGCCGGTACCAGTTACATCTCTGGTTTGTTGTTAACGCAGTTGTGTGTCAGATTATAGTAGGAGCTTGACCTCCCATCATCGCCATGATCCTAATCAATCTGTGCAATGAATCATTATCTCGCGTTTATTTTACGTAGCGTTAAATTTGATGGATAGACTAATATTTGATAAAGAAGATTACCATATTCGAAGACTACCACACACCTCATTGCTAAAGACAACATTAGAGATCAAGTTACATTCCTTTTGAACAATGACATTCCGCAACAGATGAACATGAGCCAGATTCAAGCAATGAAGCATCATGTGTATATCGAATATAGGAGAGGATGTGCAGAGCTGAGAATTCTGCGTTTGAAATACAATGAAGTCTTCAAGCCTTCATGTAGTATTCGCACTTATACAATGATTATTTGGTCTGGAACTTTAGCCTGCTGCTTAATTTATCGTTATTATTGTGATACTAAGCGGGACCCGACTTTTTGTAGAAAACTATGGCCAGGTGGAAGGTGAGACAGTCTGGGTAATTAGGGTTGTCCCTTACTCATTATTTGGATTGAGACCTGCAGGTTTACCAAGTGGTTCGCTATTAACCGAATACACTATGCCATTTGTCCGAGCGATGAGTACAGGAGGATCTGATAGACTTCTCTCACTGATAGAGAGAAACTGATAGCAGCGGTGCTACGTATCCGTCAAGACGGCCATTGCGGCCGCAGGGTGGATTGTCCTTTGCTCATCAGACCACCTCGTAATGGATCGAGCCTTTACTCCGACATTAGCCCGAAGTAGCACCCCTTCTTACGAAAAATTAACGGTTTTACATAGTTGCAATTCCATTATAACCTAAAGTGAAAAATGTACTATTCAACCGAATTAACCGTTAATCAAAATTTAACGTATTTCTCAAAAAATATTTACAGTGGTTGTATTTGATTAATTTATGTAACGCACTCATGAACTCTAGAAATTCTTGGTTGTTTATGCAAGAAATAGCTTGAAAATACGTTGATCTCTTGTCAATTGCGTTATGTAAAGTACATTCTTTTGTTTCCTTTTCATTCATTAGACTTCACTCATTGCAAAGAGCAACCTGTTTTAGTCTTTATTTACAAACAATTAACTATTTGATTATTTTTCTCTAATGAAAAACGTGGAAATACATTATGTATTAATAATAGGTACGGGAATATGTTTCTGTTCTTTTAGTCTTGTCAGCAAATGTTATTTTGATTTTGTCTAAGATGTCATAATAATTGATCAATAGACAATTGTTTATAGTCTTTATATAAGGATGATAGTGGCTAATAGTTTTTAAACAAATAATAGTTGTTCACACTAACCTTAGTCTCTTAAATAAAAACAGCTGTTTCTTTAAAACAACAGTAGTATTAGTTAGTGAATTCAAGAATAAAGTTCATACCTTTGTTCGCATAAGCTGAAGCTTTATTCAAGTGAAAAACTAAACGATTGGCTCTACGAATATCACATCAAAATTTTTTGAAATACCGGCATCATAAAGAGTATTTCATCGACAATTTTGACTGTATGCGATAGAAAAATTCTGGTGAAAAGTAATTCTGATACGTTGAGACAATCCTGTGGCTTCAAATGAAAAGTAGGCAAGTTTGTAGGAAATCGACTGTGTCCAGAAAAAAACGATGTCGAATTTGAGACAACCGATATAAGCCCCTTCTAAAAAATCTAGAAAACTGATGGTCTAATCTAGAAACGCTTTATTTAGATCAGATCTGTGCCATATACGAAAAATATTAGTTCATTCGTTTTCTTTTTCTTATTTGTTAGTCTTGTTTCTTTTCACTATGCTGTATGAAATGTGTTTCTTCTTTGTCCTTGAATGTAGAATAAGTAAAGTCCGGAATAATTCAGTTTATCAGAGACTTATCACGAATTTTTTGAAGGAACATAAAATCATAAGTGCACACAGCTAAGCTTTTCACAACCTAAACTCAACCTAATCTATAGGTTAGGCTAGATTAGGTTACACTTGACATACGGTACACTAATGTAACTCTATATTCTTTATAAATTGGCACTGTGTCAGTTTGTTACTTGAAAAATTCGTGATAAGTCTCTGACAAATCGAATTGTTCTAAAGCCTCCGAGAAGCGCTCACTAGTATCAGCGGATATCAGATTCGAAGTGTTTATCATTGATAAACAACTGTGCTCAGAAAAAAAGCAAGCAAACATTTGCAGAGCTTTTCTTATGCGTAATTCTTCATGCACATGTTGCGGTTTGAAAAAAGATATATTGGCATCAGAATTAGGTGATGTAGGTCATTCATGTTTCGAATTTCTTCACTCTCTTCGAGTTAAATAGTTTTTTTCAATGTTGATTTTAAAATAAGAAATTTTTGAACATCGGAGATTCTATTGAGATAATATACATTTTTTTTTGTTTGGACGTGAGAGGTGAGAAAAAGAAACAGTACATCATATACACACACACACACGTCTCCCTTGTCAAGGTAGATTTTTTTTCAATCATCGTGAATCGATCAAAATGAATGAAAGAAAAAATAGAAAAAATATTATTGACGATTATTATAGATGTGTATGTTTTATAATAAATTGGATACTTAGAAATTTTCGTGATTTACTTTTAGAGAAAAAGAAATTTTTTTCGATAATCAATGCTGATGCTGGTACGATAGAATGAATGGTATCATATTGAATTAGTTACTAGTTAGTTCTCTTGCACAGTAATTCTCTTTTAACGAAAAGTGATGAGTGATCTTACATTTATTGTTCCTCGTACAGCTTTCAGAAACAAAGAGTTGCGTTTTAAAAGATCGTTTTCAAACTGAAGCGGTTAGAATCTGTAATATATTGTCCAGTGGTACTTTTAGTATACTGTTTCATATCCAATCTCTTCTCTATGAAAACATAAAACCTGTCCTATGCCGGTTTTTAAATTCCAAGGTAAAATATTTTATCAGTCAATGAACAACTTTTCTAGTTTTAGATTATATAAACACGATATTCACTTAGTCTGAGTATGTGCATCAGCAGTTAGATGCACATAATAATCACCATAACAGCCTGAACAACGATCTAATCGATTATCAAAATTCATTATCCTGTCGCCAAAAATCGGATTAGCGTTACCATTTACAGGAGGATACACATGTTTAATGCACGTCCAGTTTTAACGTCAAATATTTCACACCCTATTGAACAAAAAAGCGGTTCACACATTACACGATTGTCAATTACAAATAACAGTAGTGATCATTCTATCGATATGTCAGACGATGACGACGTTGTTCTACCTAAACCGCCAACGTCGAATTTAATGATTAATCGTTTAACATCGATCATCGATGAATCGTTAACAAATATTCAATATCTTGTTCATGACATTGAACTAAAACGGCGAGATTCTCAGAAACAATTAGACAATGTTCATAAAACTCTACGAAATTTAATTGATAAAAAGCAGAAACAATACGAATCAGATATCAATGAATATTTTAAAAAACATAATGAAAATATTTTAAAATCAGAAACCTATTTAAAACAATTAAAATTTCAATTATTAGATTTATGTTGCGATTTTAACATCAACAATTACAAGTATATTGAACAATTGACAAAAACAACCATTGAAAAAGTATTCATTGAACCGAATATTTGTAATAAATTGACTGATGCTGATAAGTTTCTAGATTTAACATGGCAATGTTATATTGCTAAAAATGATGGACAACAAGAACAAGAACAAGAACAAACTAATTGTAAAGAGGAAAATCTCATTTCAAACAACAGAACCAATAATCATCATTATGTGTTGAGTGGCGTCAAAGAAGAAGATGAAAGTAAAAGTCAATCATTTTCACCGGTAAAGACAACAAGTTCCATTGGTAAGGCAACAGTTTCCTTAGTAAAATTTCTTGTAACCAAGAGCCTGACTTCCTGAATCACTCGTGTTTTTACATATAAGTGCAAAAATTTTCAAACTGAGAAAAAGTTCGAAAATTTTCTTTCTTGAATATAAATGTTCCAAAGATGAGCCTACGATCGCATACAATTGTATGTTTGATGTCTGCACTCTAAAAGGAAAAGCATAATAAAAATTCATAGAGGATTTTTATTTCCTTTATAAAACCAAAAAGACTAACCTTAAAGGCTCATTAAAAAGCATAAATAATCAAAAGGCGTTTTGTAGTGATTACAAGACCCTTTAATTTTTTATAGAACTGTGTTTTTTTATAGAATTTTTTCTGTACGAAAATCTCGGTATTGTGTAATACTATCAGAGGTTTTGAATTAATTAGAAATACCAGTACTATTTTTCGTTTGTTTTCTAAATCTTCATCGCTTAGTCTTATCATTGAAAAATCAAAGTACAGAAAAATATCAAAATTTAGTCTGAAATACCAAACGACAGTGTTTCATAGAGTTTTGAATGCGCAACAATACAAAACACATGTCGATTTTGCACAGCGTAAAATCTCTTTCAAATATGGTCAGATGTATTGTGTTCGAGGTTTTTGAACTCAAGTACAAAATATACAATATACGCGTTGAAATACGTGAAATGAGCCATTAGAGCATGGAAAAGGATTTTTACATTTCAATCAATAGACATGTATTTGTTCGTCTTAAAAACAGTAATAAACCCTTATTTCTTTTTTTTATGTACTGTTAAAACCGTATTTTAAAAAACGGAAAGAGTTTTTTGATAGAAATGTAAACGGAAATGCGTTCGCTACATACAGCTACAAATTCAAAAAGTCTGTTTTGGTTTTGTAGTATGTTTTTTATAAAGTGTATCATTTACATTAGGAAATGTATAAAACATTTTTATCCAAAACCTTAAAACCACTTGTCTGGATTCACGTAAGATCTTGATATTTCTGTTTACAAGATGTTGATTATAAGAAATTCCACTAGGGTTGTTTTTGATTTTAAAAATTGTTGTTACTATTCATGTCACCGACAGAAAAATAAAGTCCATGCAGTGTCGCGGAAAAATGCTTTTTTATATTCAGTGCATTCGATAAACCTGAAGATTTTCTATTTTTAGCGAGACATACTGCCAAAAGTTGAAGAAAAAATTTTAAAACTAATATTATTTTCCCCTAGAAATCAGCTATCTGCTTGTTCTTCTTTTAGAAACATCGACTGGTCCGGATAGAGATGCTGAATATGACTATGTTTGTGACAGTGAAGTAAAGCGCAATCCTTTGAACTGTTCATCTCAATATCGTTTATCATATCAAAATGCTGTTCGTCTATCAAGCCGTTCAGACTATACCGATTCATTTGATATATCATATCAAATAAATCAGTGGTCATATGAATTAGAATATGGCAATTATTTTATTTCATTGATAACTCCATATCGAAGTGATTCAGTTTTACTCTATTGTCTTGATAAAGAGCAATTTATTTGTTACTGTACATCATCTGTTGATGAAATAGCTACAATCGAATGGCGTGGAACACGTCCATATTCGATCTATTGGTGCAATGAAGTAGAAATACTATTTGTTGCTTGTAAAACTTATATATATGCTTGTAATCTTAATTTCTTTGACGATAAATATTATCATAATCGAATACTATGTCGGATACCGATCGACAATGGTTATTCGCATTCTGATTCCAGTGGTGAACAATGTTACCCGCGATATTTAACATCATTGTCTAATTCACGTTTATTGTATGCATATTGGAAAACGAAATACGAAACAATTTTAGTTTATTATCGAACACAAGACTGGACAATTAGTTGTCAACATTTTATCGAAGGAAGATGTCGAGCATTATGTTCAACAGATGACGATAAATTAGGTAAGACCTACATGGCTGAAAACTACTGTATTGTACATTGGGATGCACCAAACACGAATATTTGGGTTTGGCAGGTTTGGGTTTGGTGAAGATTTAGGTTTTGAGGTTTGTAATTTTCAAGCACTTTGGGTTTGGTTTGGTCACCAAACTCAACGAAAGTATTATTATCGTTAGTAAACTGCAAGACAAATGCCCATAATAAATTTCGAACTTTTCGACCGAGATTTTTGCGGAAAAATGAAAGTTGTCCAAAAGTCCTGAAACTGAAACACATATCAATCAATTCAGTTTTTTATGCTGATTCCAAATATGACATTGGTTTTGCAGAAAAATGGGAGTTTAACAATGAAAACTGCAAAATACAACCAAAATTTCTTGTTTTTTGCTACCTGTTTCAAAAAAATTAATTTTCTCAACAACGGAACAATATTTTCCAAAACCGATACGTAGCTTTTTGTGCTATTATGGCGAGTAGAATGATATAAAAATATTGGCTTCATTTCCTATCTAGAGAGACTTGAAGCTTTTTGCGCTAACATGAACGAGATTTTGGCTATTGATAAAAAACTAAAAAGGTTTTGGGTCATATCATACTTAACTAGTATCGAGACACTATTTTTCAAATTCAGTTTTTCACGGAGAACAAGAATGGAATACTTCCAAGGTTCTCAAACACACTGTGTTTGAGTTTTACGTTAGTTTTTAAAAATAAACCGTTTTTTAAAATTTTAAAAGCTGCAAGCCTCTCTAGATAGGAAATGAAGCCAGTATTTTTATATCATTCTACTTGCCATAATAGCACGAAAAAGTTACGTATCGGTTTTGGAAAATATTGTACCGTTGTTGAGAAAATTAATTTTTTGAAACAGGTAGCAAAAAACAATGAATTTTGGTTGTATTTTGCAGTTTTCATTGTTAAAACTTTCATTTTTCCGCAAAAATCTCGGTCGAAAAGTTCGAAATTTATTATGGGCATATGTCTAGCAGTTTACTAACGATAATGATACTTTCTTTGGGTTTGGTGACCAAATCAAACCCAAAGTGTTTAGGGTTACAAATCTCAAATCTTTACCAAACCCAAACCCAGCAGATACAAATCCGACACAAATCCAAACTATGTGAGTACAAAACCCAAATATGGCTTTAGGTTTGGTGCATCCCTAATTGTACACAACTGAATCGCATACTTGTAGTGTTATCCCTGGAAAAGTGTTTTACTGATAGAATGGATTCTATTAAGTCAGATTGATTAGTTTTTGCTTTTTTGTTTTACTCGCTCCTGCTTAGGTGTAAAAAGTAAGCATTTTACTTTCTGGGACTATCGAGCACTGACTAGTGGTTTACTTCCCTTTTCTGAGGAAAAGGAAAGGATGACTTTTCCCTTTTTCAAAAAAGGGAAGGAATGTACACTCTCTACTCCTCAAAGTAAAGAAAATGGTTGCACTTTACCCTTTACTTTTGGAGAAGTAAAGAGACAAATTATAAAAAGAACTTTTTATTGTAAGATCTAGGGTTGCATTCATGTTCAAAGGTATTATAGACAAGAAAACAACCTCTATTGATCCGAATTTCGAAAAGTACTGCGCAACATTTTGAATAATATTCATTTCACTACAGAAAACATTTTTCATCAGAATGTGAGACCATACCCAAGCAAAAACGATCCAGTTTTTGCTTGGGTAATTGCATCGAGATCTGATTAGGGCTGACAACCGGCTCATTTTTATTTTGAAAACTAAGATCATATAATGAGGTTAAACTTTACAAAACGATGGAATATCGAGAGTGGAACATTTTCAAAAAATATTTGTGACTTAGGACTTATTTTTGAGGAGTAAGACCAATCTGATTTTGGAAAAAAATTATTTACAAACATTATGTATAGTGATATTTTGTAGGATGACACTAAAATAAATATAAACTTGTCAAGATAAAAGCAAAGTTAGATTTATGATATAACTCAGCGGTTTGTCCAAGCGTGACGCTGTGACATTTTTGGTACACTAACACGCTCTTATCTGAAAAACTATTAAAGCTAGTAAGTTCGTTCAAGCGGTATTCGACGCAGCTCAACGCCCTCTATCTCCAGTAAAAAAAGGAGAAAATTTCGTTTGAATTTAGCAGTTTTATAGCAAATTTTCAGAGCGGACGCTGTGACAAAAAAGGCCTTTTTGTCTTTAGTATATGGGGAATTTTTGAAAATTTTTAGGAAAAATCACCGGTGAAAATTTTTATTTGCAAGCGGTTATGTCGAGAAGAGAACGATCTACACGTTAGTAAACCAAATTTCATTCCAGTATCGTCGTGGATCGCAGAAACGTTATTTTATTACCGTGACGCTATGACACTGTTTTCTGGGAGAGTAGTCCCTGGTACTCAGCACGGCCAAAAGAACTTTATTTTTATCTTTACCAGAGCTCTTGCTAGGTACTCACGATTTATGGGAGAACTGGCACTCTAAACTTCAAACCCCGACTGGAAAATAGCCCGAAACCTGGAGGTCTCTGGAAAGCCTGGTGTTCGGCGAAAAAACTCACTGTCAAAACAAAATGAGCCATTTTGTAGAGAATTTAAGTGTCTATCGACTGGTATACTTTCTATATTTTTTAGACAAAACTTCTAGGTCAGAAAATTGAAATTAAACTTTTTTAAAAACTTAGGCTCAATTTTTTTCGCCAAAAATCAAAATTTTGTTTTAAAAGAACACGACATTCGTAATCAGCGTGAAAAACTGTCTGATGCTGTGCTTAAACCACTTCCATAATGGAAAAATTTTTTTAAAAACTTAATCAGCGAAGTATCGCCTTACGTAGACAAGCCGTGAAAACGTCTTACATCATCTTGTAAAATTTTTGTGATATCTTATTATCAGATGTTACAAAGAGCTGTAACATCGTATAATTCTACCTTATAAATTTGAAATAACTGCTAAAAAAGTAAAAATTTGATTTTCTAGACTTCAAAACTGTGATACATCAAATGAACTCAACCTTTTACGTCATTGAAAAGTTGCGTATATAGCGCGTTATTAGGAAAAAAATCGCAAAACTTTTCTTAGAAAACAAAACCAGTTGTTTCTCGTAGAAGACAGCCATGCACAAGTGAAAAATTTTCCTGCCTTTCCTTACACGTGTAGTAAAAGATATAAAATTCAGATTTGTTACCTTGAAAATGTTTTTTTCACAAAACCAAGATTTGCTCATATGTTATTTGTTTTAGGCTTACTTATTGAACGTGCCAACGATTACAATGAATATGTATTGGAAGTCTATACTCAAGAATTTCAATTGTTATCGAAAATTGAATTGAACAATGCTTCATATCGTTTTTCCAAAGGATGTTGTTTAACGGCCTCACATCAGTCGACTTTTTTATTGACTGACTGGAAATTACAACAATTATGGAAAGTTAATTTAGATGGAACAATTCAAATTAAACAATATAATGAACCTGTTTATAATGCTGTTTGGTTAAAACAAGAACTATTACTCATTCTACTTATCGGCAATCCAATACGATTTGAATTTTATAAAATGAATTTAACGAACGTAGATGATGAAAAATATATATGTGAACAAGCAATTGAACATTTCTTTATAAATCTATTTCCAGATATGGAATCATTTGAAATGTAAACAAAAATTTTAAGATATAGTAAGAAAATAATAGTTTAACTGAGAATATTAGAATTGAAAACCCTTTCATAGGAAGGTTAAAAATAAACCGTCTTTGTTTTATATTCTACAAAAATACTGGTGACTATTTAATGGTAATAATTATTGCTCCATCTTTATTTGTAAAGTTTGTTCGCTCTTTTCTCATTTTTGTTATTTTAAGCACTGTATGTAAACCATGTTTTATGTTACTTTTTTTAAGACCGATAAATTTATGTCTTATTTTTCATAGTAGTTCGAATGTTAAGCTAAGTTCGTCAGAGTGGATAAGTAGTTTCAATTTAGCCGTTGTTAATGTTTTATAAGAGAAAAATGATGATAACATTCTAAGTGCATTTTATTAAATCCTCTGTTCTCTATATACAAGTAATCAATACGAAACAAAAGAGGTGAGTGATTTGTCGTACTTCAGACGGCAAAAATAAGACCTTGTTCTTCGGTCTTAGAAATAAGATGGATTTTTCTTTAGAGTGTGGGTTAAAATTGGATACTATGTTCCTATCGTCATTTCTGAAGTAATTTTTTTACTAAATATACCGTTCGATAGATGCTTTCAAGGGCACACGATGGTATGTTTATATATTATATTTAAGAAAAATATTGGGAATCGAAGGGTATGCCAATATGACTTTCGCCTAACTGCGAAAATCCAGTGTAGTTTTACAGTGAAGTTTCAACTACACAACCCGTGGTATTTTGCCAATAATTCAGTTACATTGTCTTCCAATGCAAGTCATATTTCTTTTTAAAATATTGCTTAATAAAAGATGTGATTTGCATTGAAAGACAATGCAACTCAAGCCACAGCTGGCGATAGCCAAGCGGACCGTCGTCAATACCACCAGTGTACTTTCGCCAACTGAACTTAGTCGCTCGCCAATTGGCGAATGTCTAGTTGACGAAGTCATATTAGTGTACCTTCATGATTCCAAAATATTGAATAAGATACAGAAATAAACAAATTACTGAGAAACATATAATTATACCGTATAGAAGCGAAATAAGCGATCGTAATCGCCTGTTTGACGCATCCTAGACAACGAAATCACCAACTATGATCTAAAAATAGAAAATCTACTGGTTTATCGAGTATGCTGAATACAAAATAGCACTTTTCGACAACTCTAACTGAACTTTATTAAAGGAAAACTATATTTAAATTCGTGTAGTAGAAAGTTTAAGGTGATTTTTCTCTATTCTTCGAGTTTTCTTCACTGTTCAGAGCGACTCCGTATGTAAGTCCTTAACAGAAGGTGGCGTCGCTACATGCACATTTAACCCATAGATATTAATAAAAACGTTTCAACTTTATGCAAGACTTATTATACTTTTCGATTATCTGAACTATCTTTAAGTAAATAAAGAATGGTAGTCATCTTCATTGAGGAAAGGCTCAGTTTCTTATTACTTGAACGTTAACGACGCCTTCTTCGGTAATAAAAGTAACAAATAAATAAATAAATAGAAATGATTAAAACTGATACCTGACATTTAGTTTTGAGTTTAGCTTTCTGAGATAATTTTCTGCCATCACTACAAACTTCCATATTATAAAACATCCTCTGCAGAATCTCGAAGATACCAGAATGGATTGATTATAATACCATATAATTTATAGCTCAATGAGTAGGGATAATCTGAGAAAAAAACCAAAGTTGTTCTAGCTTAGATGCTCCGTTAATCTTATTGTTTGAGTAAATCAGGTCGGACAAGAAAAAGTTAGTCGAAAAAATCAGAACACGGTTACGTTATTTGTAACTTGAAAATCTAAATATACAAGCGTTTCTGTGACACAGATTTGTGGCCATCAGAGAAATCTTAAATATTAGCGGCATCAATATTTCTTTTGATTTGATTTAAACTATATTTATTTTTCAAATTTATCACGTCAAAAGAGAGCTAATATCTCAGAGGAAGCGAGGAAGAGCTCCATTATTATTGGGGTGCCCGTGCAGTAGAATTAATAACTGTTTTAACTAGATATAGAAGAATGAATATTTCTTTTTATCTACGGATTTTGTAGATTTTTGTTATTGTCACTGTATAGTAAATGGCTGGTTCAGGAGACATAACTCCAGATGAAAGTCTTTATCCTATTGCCGTTCTTATCGATGAATTGAGGAATGAAGATGTCCAAGTAAGTTTCATTTCGTTTCAGTGTACAAATTTCTTAATAACTTTTTTTATCGTTTATTAGTTACGTTTAAATAGTATCAAAAAATTATCAACAATTGCTTTAGCACTTGGTGTTGAACGAACAAGATCAGAATTAATACCATTTCTAACAGGTAATATACTGACTGGCATCTATTTTATTTGCTGCCACTTTTGCGTACATTCATTTATTAATGCTAAAAATGAAAGTTTATTTCTTAGTAAAAACAATTAATATTAATTTTCTTGATAACTGAATCAGCTAATGGTGGTACGCTTTTGTTTTATCCATTTTCAGAAATTTTTACATTAGATTCCAATCTAAAAGGTTTTATTTTAGGCGAAGAAAAGGCGTCTATGCCCACTTTAAAGCTCTTATTTGTGAAAATTTGTTTTACATTTGCATTACTTTTAGATACAATCTATGATGAAGATGAAGTATTATTAGCCCTTGCTGAGCAATTGGGCACTTTTACACAATTAATTGGAGGTGACAGTTATGTTCATGTTTTACTAGTAAGAACAGATTAAATTCAATATATTGGTAAATAATAATAATTGCTTTGTTATTTTTTTCTTTCTAGCCACCGTTAGAAAGTTTAGCACAAGTTGAAGAAACAATTGTTCGAGATAAGGCTGTTGATTCATTACGTTTATTAGCACCACAACATTCAACAACTGATTTAGAAACATATTTTGTACCCACCGTGAAACGTTTAGCACAAGGCGATTGGTTTACATCTCGAACATCAGCATCCGGTCTTATTAGTGTTTGTTACTCGAGAGTATCAAATCATGTCAAATCGGAATTAAGACAGTAAGAATCAATCTTAATTCACGTAATAGTCTTTATTATCGAGCAAATTGTTGTTTTTTAGATTATTCAAAAGTTTATGTCAAGATGATACACCAATGGTTCGTCGTGCCGCTGCGTCGAAGTTAGGTGAATTTTCCAAAGTGGTCGAAACAGAATATCTACGTACAGAGTTAGTTGGTTTATTTACAAATTTGGCTAATGATGAACAAGACAGTGTCCGATTGTTGGCAGTCGAAGCTGGCATTGCAATGGCATCACTATTTCGTCAAGATGATTTAGAAACACAAATGATGAACACATTAAGAGGCGCAACAGAAGATAAATCTTGGAGAGTTCGATACGTAGTAGCGGATAAATTAGTTGAAGTACGTAGATATCTTGTTTACTTAAATCATGATTTAACGAGTGAACACCACTGCTAACAACCATGTTGGTAGATTAAATTCTTATTCATTTGTTTGTTTATCTTATTTTAGCTTCAAAAGGCTGTTGGTAACGAAATAACAAAAACTGATTTAGTTGGTGCTTATTGTTCACTACTGAAAGATCCTGAAGCTGAAGTGCGAGCTGCTGCTGCGAGTAAATTAAAAGATTTTTGTCATCAATTACCTCAAGAGACACGAGAACAAATCATCATGTCACAAATTCTACCTTGTATCAAAGATATGGTAGCTGATATGAATCAACATGTAAAATCAGCATTAGCCAGCGTCATTATGGGCTTATCACCAATTTTAGGAAAAGACAAGTAAACAGTTTTTTAGAGAAATAATATTTGTTTTTTCATCTTGTTTGTCTATTTAGTACGTTGGAACATTTATTACCATTGTTTTTAAGTCAATTGAAAGATGATTGCCCTGAAGTTCGTTTAAATATTATATCCAATTTGGATTGTATCAACGAAGTGAGTGATGGAGAGACAAGAAAGAATACTATATTAAAATGTGATTATGATGTTGTTTTCTTTCTCGTTCAAGGTTATTGGTGTTCGTCAATTAAGTCAGAGTTTATTACCAGCTATTGTTGAATTGGCTAGTGATGCTAAATGGCGTGTTCGATTAGGTATCATAGAATATATGCCATTACTTGCTGGCCAATTGGTATGTATTCTTTTTTATTTATTCATTCTTTTTTTATTATTCGATTCTTCTTAAGGGGCCAGAATTTTTTGATGAAAAATTGAGCAGTCTATGTATGAGTTGGCTAACAGATCATGGTAAGTGCAATGCGTGCTCAGAAATAGAAATAACGTAAATATTAATTAAAAACACGGCTTATAGAATGTTCTAGAAAGCGGGTATTTTTGGTGAAAAAAAGAGTAGACTCGGATTTAGAGAATACCTTTAGGAAATTAAGTCAGCTATCCAAAATTTCACATTGTAATATACTAGCCTTTCTTATAGGGATGAAGTATAAAGAATCTTCTTTGAAATGGAAGAGAAGCAAAACTTTGGTTCTCACATCGAATTTTCTGAGACCCTCGGTACTGATACCTGTTCGCTTTTTATGAAAGCCTTATAAAGTACTGCATCATAGGTAAGCGAGCACGTTTAGTATCATGGTAACGTTTGTTTTCAAAAATGTTGATCATAATAAACCCCTATTGGATTGAATCCTCCATCCAGTTTTTTCGACTATTTTGTAGAGAACACACTGAAGTGTATATCATAAAACTTTTTCAGTTCCCTGGCTTCTACTTTCTAAGAGAAATTTTCCGCGATTTTTTCGCTCCATTTTTAAAATTTGAATAGAATTTTATTTTTCAAAATCCAAACTTAATTTTAGTGTCTTTCGACAGATGACATCAAACTGTTTATACAAAAATAGTTTCATTGTCCCCAGATAAAGGTTTAGGAAAATTTTAAGTTTTTTTGTATAAACAATATGATGTTGTCTATCGAAAGACAATAAAATTAAGTCTTGATTTTGAAAAATAAGATTCTATTCAAATTTTAAAAATGGAGCGAAAAAACGAAAATTTCGCTGAGGAAGTAGAAGCCCGGGAACTGAAAAAGTTTTAGGATATACACTTCGGAGTGTTCTTTACAAAATGATCGAAAAAACGTAGGGAGATCTCCCCCTTAACGCTATTTTAAATGAATACAAAGTGATTAGTTTTTTTTCATAAAAATTCATCCAAAGGACTTCAAAAATTTCAGCGTATGATTACCGCAGCACGTTATGGGTGTAGAAAATAGATACGAAGACAATCACTGAGTTTGGCACTAAACAGGATTCTTTCTAGAATCTGTCTAGATGTTCTATTTTTCAAACAATTTCTTACGATTTCTCGTATTATTATCATCATGTCGAGATTTCTTAATGGTTCTTCCTATATCCTAGCATAGAAAGAGATTTTCAAATATTTACATGAAAAGATGTGTCAAAGTCTTGGGTTCAAATTACTGAAAGTTCAAGCTGTCTATCTCTCTTTTCGTTCGCAAATTCTTCAAAAACTACCCGAGTCTACTGTCTTTTTAATCGACCGTAGAAAAGAAGGCTATGTACAAGTTTTAGTAGAAGTGCTTTTTGTTGTTTTATTGAATTGAATTTTCTTGCTGCTTATTTACTGTTTTGGCCTGCTACACGCGGAAATAGATCGAGTGTTTGGTAGTGGAAAGATACTAAAGGGGAGTTGTGTAGATTCACCAGATACATTTTATTCTTTCTCCGCATATTTCTATTTTGTACTTTATAATTAATTTAGTTTATGCCATTCGCGAAGCAGCCACGAATAATTTAAAGAAATTAGTTGAAAAATTTGGTCGTGATTGGGCTCAAAATACTGTTATACCAAAGGTTATACAATTAGCTCGTGATCAAAATTATTTGTACCGAATGACATGTTTATTCGCTATTAATGTAAGTCTTGTTGATATAAAACTATTGTTTTATTATTTTAGATTGTTCTCTCTTTCTAGGTATTAGCAGACGTTTGTGGTCAAGAAATAACTCAACGTATGATGTTACCAACAGTAATAACATTGGCTGGTGATGCCGTGGCAAATGTTAGATTTAATGTTGCTAAAACACTTAAAAGAATATATCCTATTCTAGATGGAAGGTAATTGAGAACGTTCCAGAACAAAGCATTCAGTTTATCTTTTTAATTTTCTGTTGGAACAGGCACACACATTTTCTAATTAAAATTTAGAACAACTAGATAGTCTTTTTCGCGTCTTTTTGTTTTAGTGCGTTGGCCATGCATGTTAAACCATGTTTGGAAAAATTAGCACAAGATGTTGATTTTGATGTGCAACATTTTGCTAGTGATGCATTAGAAAGTAAGTTTTTGTTTTTTATATGGTATTTGTTCAGAGACAGTAGATCTCTCGTTTTCCTCTCTTTGTCTAGCACTTCCTAGTACAAACGGCAGCGGTTATTCTCATCATAGTTATCGTTAAGAAGTAAAAATATAGTCATTCCTACTAATCAATTGTGTTAGATGCGCATACAATCCTTCGCTTTTCTTCTTTATTCATTTAGAAGTTATCGAAGCATTATGAATTTAGTACTACTAATAGAGTCTACTTCTACTATGTAGGCATAAGATTTCTTGTTTCTGTGTGGATGTGCAGTGATGTTTTCTGGATATAACCAATAAATTTTACAAGAATTTCTTCAGCACGAAAATAGTATCGATATACATACAAGAAAGTTGAAAAATACACATTATTTTATCTAAAATCTGTGAAGTTATATTTCGAGACTTTTATTTTAGTCTCTTAGCCTTTCATGTACGCATAGGTAGAACAGAAGTTGGATTTATAGTCATTGCTGATAACAATGCACGCTTTTTTGTTTGACGTATCTATCATGTTTTTTTATTTTTATCCATTTTATTTTGCAGAATTATTGTCACATGAGGATTCTGAACCAGCTATCATGCTATTTTGATGAATCGTATCTTCTTTTTAAGATGTGTAAGTGACTGAGACTAAAAGCGACGTATAGATTAAACTATTCTAACTCGAGGAACATTTGTCTCTACTAACATTTCTTTTTCTTCTTCTTGTAAAATAAATGCTCGGGTTGAAAGCGTAATTCTTTGCTTAACTCAAATATATTTTCTTTCGTTCTTATCATATAACTCTTTAGATGTTAATTGTCAGTTTTAAAGGAAAAACAACTTGCTTATTGTTATTTTTGCACTATTTCTCAGCGCTGTTCATGAGCGCATACGCTTTCTTAAGCAACTTACCAATGATTTATTCTACCAGAAAATTATTACTTTTTCTCTACATCTTTTTGTTTTAGTGGTGGCAAAAGCTTAGAAAATGGATTTTCGTCACTAAGTAAAACTCATTGTCATGACGGACACCTCAATTCCTAAATATTTTATACATATTCATCTCATTGAAGTATTGTTTGTTGTTTGAATGTTTTTTTTTTGTATTTTGCTCTTTTTCTGTAGTATCCATGTATGTATGTGTGTTTTCCAGTTATTGTTCTCCCAAATGGCAACAAAAATACAAACGAATGCTTTATTCTTCTAATTTGTCGAAAATCTTTTTTCTTGTTGTTGTTGTTGTTGTTGTTTAATACAAAGTGACACTCTTTCTCTTTCTTTCTGTCATCTCTTTATAAAGACTAAATTTTCATTTTTTTTCAACAAATAAGAAAAAATAAAATACACTTTGTCTTTTTACTATTAGTGCTTGTTGTGCTTCAAAAAAACAATAACAAGTGTCAGTAAGAATGACGGGTTTTAAAAGATGCACAGTATTTCTCTTTGTCTGCCATATAAATCCATAATTGGCCGAACCAAAACTCGAGAACCTAATCTGCGTAGAATCGCTGATTTCTGAGTGTCAAATTGCCATTTAAATCGTAACATAGTTTTCGGTATCACGTTAACAGTGTGCACTTCAACTGAATTCCGTTTCTAGGATTGATTACCCAAAAATAACTACTATAAATAGTGTTATTTTACAACACGGCAGTACTACGGTTTAGGTTGACTTCTTTTTCTCTCATTTACAGGACAGATAGAAATGGAAAAGAATTTCAAGTTTTCGCATCAAAACTAGTGTTTCTTATATATATATTAAAGTACCTAAAACAAAATGGTGAATAGTTTTTCTTGAGACATTAAAATTTTACGGTACATTGGGGCGAAAAGACGCGTTAAAACTTAAAGCACAGAACACAATAAGACGGATTAGGCAGATCCCCACACAAGTGTTCTTAAATCTTCTCAGATTGTAGAGAATAATTGACTACATATATTCTAAATTGCTTTCGCAAAACCAATAAGTATTCACAGAATTATAAATTAATTAAGATGAAATTTTAGCAAAAGATTTAACTGTGAGCCTATTTTCAAAAACTTAACAGTTTAATCAAAAGTACTTATACAAACGTGATTCTTTTGTACTTAGATCGAAAAATATTTTCAGTTATGGTTACATTTAATATATTTCAGAAAAAACTAAACTAGAATGTAGATTAATAATTAATTAATCCTGATTAACGATAATTATGGACAGTTTAGTGATTTACATTTTTATTGCAAATCGATAGTTCTTTGAAACTAATCAAACAATACATCATTCGAATTAGCTTTTCAAGCGCTGAAAAATTGTATATTTGCTTTTCAAAGGAATTAATTAATAATGAATCTTACAAGAGATTCGTTTAAGACCGCTTCTATCTCCAACGTTCGAAAATTAACATTTCTTTTCATTCTGAGATAAACGGCATCAGCAAATTACCTAAAACCTAAAATATTAACTGAAATTCATTTCATTCAAATTTATTGATTAAAAAATTCTTAAATTACGATTATTGGCAACTTTACACATTTGTAATGAGGAACAACTAAAAAGTTCAACATTTTCCTAAAATTTTATTCTTCGTAAATTCAATCTACCAAAACTTTGCCACGGATTGTGGCTCAATGAAGCACGATGGAAAAGAATTTTTGTAGACAAAACTTTTCTTTAGATGCCAAATGGGAAGTAATGAGTGTAATACTTTTTCCAGTGTAACAAAAGTTTTGAGGAAAATTGAGTTTTAAGTTTTTTAATAACTTTAGATCCTTGAATTTGATTTTCTCAAAAATTTTCTGTTAACTGACAAAAGTATTACACTCAGTACTTCCCATTTGGCATCTAAAGAAAAGTTTTGTCTGCAAAAATTATTTTCCATCGTGCTTCATTGAGCCACAATCTATTCATCAAACTTCATTCAAAACTCGCTAGAACTTCAGCATATAGACAGTCCGATGTTCTTGATTGACCGGAGTCAATCTTATCATTAGAGCGTGTTTTTTCAATGCACAGTAACCGTTTTAAAAATACTTCTTGAATTCTTAAGGGGAGGGAACGCTCCTCCCCTGAGATGACACTGCGACTCGTAGACATCATTTTCGTTTGTGCGTTGTGATATTCATTTTTTAAAGTGTATTAGCATGCAATTACTAGAAACTGTAAGTCTTGTCCGAGACAAAGCAATTTTATTCAATAATAAACGCAATATTTGAAATTTATGTCCGTTAACGGTTTTGGATGCAATGTGCCAGCATTCTTTCATTGTCATGAATAAATTACAACAGACATTGAAATCCAATTGGAAACAACTAACTGAGTAACCACGTTATACTTGGTGTTCACCGAAAAATACCACGAGCAGCGAAATAACTGATGCATTTTGAACGAAGAATCTATCACAACGGCTTGAAACACACAAATCACGAAACATTGCTGATTGAAAAGTGTTTAACAGAATACGTATCTATTTTTCAATTTTTCGGAATTTTTAAAAATATCATTATACGCTATTATAATGACCTTGGGCGTCCTATTTGTATTAAGAACATCGGAGATCTCGATACAAACATGTTATAAACACAAATTTCATATATAATGCATTAATGAAGATTAAAATTAATTGATCCCCTCCTTTTTGGCTTTTTGTAGAAACGTTATCCAATAAAAACTAAAAATGATTTAGGTTTTTATCAAATCTCTAGATATTCATCCTCGAAAATAAAGGTTTCAAAACTTCAAATCTTCAAAACCCTAGATACCAGTTCTAATCGACAAATTCATATGAAATCAATATTTTTGTACGTGACTTCCAAGTTGTTTGCCTAAGAGAAATGTGTTAGATATATCTGGTACACGTGATAATAATTTACAAGCGCATTGAGTTAAGTATGTCATTACTAGTCCTTCTTTCCTCTCTTCTCGGTAAGTTTTATAGAGATTCGCTGCTGATCTCCTACAAAACTTCAGAGATTACAACACACAGTTTCTTGTCAGAACGATGCTGTTTAGTGCATCAAATACATGCCCATCAGAGGTATAACGATCGATTACGTACAGATTTTTAGTCTAGAGTAAGTTTTTTAAAAACATCTAAAATATTTTTTAGATGGGCGTAGACATAAAGCGAAAAGAGAGAATGTACATAAAAGGCAGATATTTAATTGTTGTAAATAACGTGTTTTAAATAAGTTTCGATGTACTTAGATAAAGCATGTGAACAGTTTATTCTATAGATTGTGTTAATATACATTAGTACAATACTAGAATGTGTAGTGTAAATTGTAATTTTTATTCGAAGTTAATGTAAATAAAACTGTAATTTACCATCTTTACTTATACTTTTGATCGCAGTTAAATGTAAGGCTGATCAAACCTTGTTAAGATATAGTATTTCTGTACGAAATAATTCAGAACACTGTTATTGGTTTTGCTTTGATATATACGTTGGGTTTTTATATATCTTAATCTCTTGTTGATTGTGTTTCACTCTTCATAATGGTCTAATAAATTATTAAATAACAAAAATTCGTAGAAGATTGAGCGTCGGGATATATTTAAGAAAATAGTTTTTGTTAAAGAAATATCTGAAACTTTGCAATAAAAAAGTCAGATGTAAATGAGGTGCTTTTCGATTTATGATGAAGTGACTTGTTTATTCTGAAGCATTCATTCATAAAACTCTCCTTCATTTGAATATTAATCACATCAATATGTTGTATGATACCGCAAGAATCTTTTCAATGAGCTTCTCGTTTGGTTCATTGAGTGTTTTCGTTATTTCTGTTTTTTTTTGTTTTTTCAAATCTTTAATTATTTTAAAAATTATCAAAAGTAGGGTATAGTTCTTCAAAATAGCAATAAATGACGAAACGCCATTGTAACTCATGTTGTTCTACTAAAAAGTTGATGAGAAGAAAGAACAAAAATAAAGAATGAAAGAAGAGAACAAAAATATGTTTATTTTCTTTTTTTAAGTGGTGATACCTTACAAGGAAAAAGTAAACGTGTGCGTGTAAAGATATCATTAAGAAGAATTTTTTTTTTTCTTCAAAAGTCAAAAATGTCATCTCTCTAGAATGAATTTTAGTATAATTAATATTCAGATAGTTTTTATCTTAAAGTAAGCATAATCGAAATAAAAACGTCAATGATAAAATAATTCTAAAAATTAACTTAATATAAACAACGAATACTTCAATGTAATGAATTTTCTTGAAGATTATAATAAGGTGAAAAAAAAGAAAAAAAAAGAGCATCATTATTGGATCACGTACGTGAAGTTCATTAATTACTGCTATAGCAACTTATTCAATGACTTTAACCTTGATATCCTTCATGGTTTACAGAATATACAGATATTTATAAATTAATTCGTGTAATTAATTTTCAGTATGTTTTTTATATAAAGAAAAATTATTTGTCAAATTATATGCTTTTGGTATTGTATCATATATGTTATATGCGTGAGAGAGAGAGAAAATACAATAGGTAATTTGTCTTCTTTACTTATCTTGAACTTGATCAATCCTATATCTATCTAGTTATATCGTTGTTTTTTTTTTTTTACATAAAAGAAATTATATTTAAGTCTAAAAAGTGCGTATATACACTAGTCATCTATTATTTGAAGGATAAAAACGAAAATCAGTTAGAAAAGTTGAACGTGTGACACAAATTAGGATAATTATTACTGATATATACAAGGAAAGGTGACTCAGACTATTTGATAAATAAATCCTTTAATATTATTCTCTACAATAATTTTGATTATATGTGTGTGTGCATCTTTCTACTATATATAAATATTTTGATGTCTCATTTTTCTTGTAGAATAAATTAGAATGCCTTCATACACCGTTCTCAATGTCAAATTACAACGTGATTCAGCCAGTATACCATGGGGATTTCGGATGATAGGTAAGTATTATGGAGTTTATCTCGTATTTATTATTGATTCCCGTATCATGTAGGAGGAAAAGATTTTGGTAGCCCATTGCAAATTCAAAGGGTATATTAGTAGTCTTATATTTACTTAATTTTATAATTGCTATTTATTTCGTTGTCATTTTTAGGTCAATCCGGGAAGTGTGGCTGAGAAATATGGTATAAAGCCAAATGATTATATAGTTAAAATATTATCAACATCAACCGAACATTTAAAACATCAAGATGCCCAAGATTGTATTATAAGACAACAAAATAATTTAGAACTCACAGTACAGCGGTATGTCTGGTCAATAATTTTGACTATTCATATTGAACTTCAAAAATAACATTACCATAAAGAATTGAATTCTATCATAGCAAAGAGATATGCTTAATTTTTTTCGTTGCTATTATTGCTAATATCGAACAGTTATCAATCGATTAACCTTTTTAGTGAAACTGTTCCTGATCAAAATGACTATTCAAGCAATTCAGAATTTCCTCCACATGAATTAATATCACCGAGTCAACCAAAACCAAATTATCAACAACAAGAATCACAAAAGCCTATTCTTGAGGTTAGTTATCACTTAAAAAAGTTTATCAGAACCATATCTTATTGATATATTTATTAATTTTATTTTATATTTGAGCCTGAATTACCAGTTACAAACAATCAAACATTATTAACTCAAGTTCACAACACACCCATCGGGTTATATTCAGCTGATACTGTTACAAATACACTAAATCAAACATTAAAAAAGTAAAAATTAATAAATATAGAAAAATCTTGTAGAATGTCTGATGTTTTGTGTTAGAATTCAATAAAAGAAATAATTATTTTTTGAAGTTGCTCTCTGCATGGATATCTTTTTTTATAGTGATGATTTGCATGATAGTGATTATTCTTCACCATCGAATTTATCCACATCATCCTCTTATCAATCTTTAGCACGATCTACTTCAAATAATTCCATAACAAATACTGTTCCAAATCGTGGCGTAAATAATATAATTAAACGTTTAAATAATCATCCTAGTAATGGAACAAAAAGTGTAGAAGATTTACAATCAAAATATTTAAGTTGTGAAGACAAACTTAAAAATGAAACAAGGCAAGGCCCATCATTCAGAGCATTACTCAAAGGGTTAGATAATGGTAGGGAGATATGATTTGCTAGTAAAATATGATTGATTAATAATTTTCTTCTTTTACCTATATAGGTACCATATCAACTGCAATACAAAATGATTCTATTACTTCACAACCGCCAAGGTAGGAAGAATATCTTCTGTGACAAAAAGACAACCATGTTGTCTATACATCAGCGTTTATTTTATAGTCATCAGGAACAAAATAAAACATTGTCAACGGCATCTAAAGATGTTCGTCCAACACAGAGTGTAAGAAATGACTCAAATATGAACAATAAATTTCAAAAGTTAGTACTAATCTGCCTGTTTTACTATTATCTTAAGAACATCGACTTCAGATTGATAAAAATAAATATAGACAAAATTCAATAAAACTTTTTTGAAGAATAAACGAAGTCCTATAACCACTGGTTGTTGTCCAAATATTCAATAAACCAGTATACCTTTATTCCTGTTGAAACTACCTTTTCTAGTTAAATAGTCTGGCAAATGAAATTATCATTTTTGGATTATTTTTCTACTAATATAAAAATTTATAATAAAAACTAAATGTCCATATCATCCATATTAGCTGTTATTCAATTATTTGCCAATGTTTTATATTTCTAACTTTCATTTGTCATGCTTTCCCATCAAAATTATGGTGCGTTATTCCTCAGTCAGTACAACTTTTTTCTAACTTTTCTAGTTTAAATATGTCATCCGATCACAAAGTAGAAGAGCCAACTAGGTAAACTCACAGATAGTAATTTCTGTATAATAACTGAGTTGATTTCACATGTTCGTAGTTTCAATGAACGTAAAGCATCAGCTACAAAAGCCTCGCCAAAACCGACGTCAATGGCCAACAATGGACCAGTACAATCATTATTTTCATCCAATTCATCTCAAACATCGTTATCATCACCAGATAAATCCACTACTCGTCAAACACCTGGTTTAATGAATCAACATCAGCCACATGCAAGTAAAATAAGAACAGAGATTTAAATATTCATGATTTGTGATTAATTTTTACGTTCAGCTCCAACACCGTCATTTAACGTCAATACAACTCCAACAAATAAAACTAGTCGTACTCTAATGAAGGGAGCCAAAGGCAGTGCCTTATTAAATAAAGAAAGTTCTTCTGGTTCTCAAATTCCTATTTGTTATTCATGTGGTATTGTTATTAGGTATACATGTGTTCATATCTAATTAAGCATCAATTACAGAATTGTACTCATGTTCAGAGGTCCATTTATCACAGCAATCGGTCGTACATGGTGTGTTGATCATTTTCGATGTTCAAAATGTACAATAAATTTAACCGAATGCGGTTTCGTCGAAGAAAAAGGAAAATTATATTGTGAATTAGATTTTGAAAAATATTTAGCTCCTAAATGTCATAAATGTCATCAAGCCATACTAAAAGTACGTAAGTCTTCAATAAAATAGCGTAACTTAGCAAATGATACTATTTTTGATTGTTTTCATTTTTAAAAGGAATGTTGTCATGCATTAGATAAATCATGGCATCCGGATTGTTTTGTATGTACAAATTGTAAAAAATCGATTAGTACAGGATCATTTCATGTTGAAAATGGACAACCGTATTGTTTAGAAGGTATATGTTGAATACACATGGTATACACAAACTAATAACGTTTCTCCCTTTCTTTCATAGATTTTCGTCGGATGTTTCAGTCTAAATGTTCGAATTGTGATTTTGCTATTGAACCTGGTGATCCGTACGTAGAAGTAGAATCATTAAATGGTACATATCATGTGGAATGCTTTAATTGTTCAGTAAGTATAGCAAATCTGCCATTTATATCTCAACAAGTTCAGTAAAGGTTTCTACTTTTGAAATATACTGAGTTTTAAACGCATACATCTTTTATATATTACAGATTTGAATTATTTTTTTAGATATGTCAAACGAGTTTAGAAGGTCAACTATTTATTGTCAAAAATAATCGTCCTTTTTGTCGAAAGCATGGCTATTAAATATCTTTAATTTTTATTAAAGACATGAATTATTTTTCCGTGAATCAAAGATGTACAAAGTCTTTCTAAAAAAGTTATGATTAAGCGTTAACTTTTTTTTTGTCGTTTCCCTTTATGATCGATATATTCCAAAAGAGTTTATTATCTTGCGTACAACTCTATAATAAATAATCCACCCAGAGGATCAGTCTTTTATTTGTATTTTTTTACGTAGAAAATAGTTAGTCGATTTATATTGCATCATTCATCAAATGGAAACCTGTCATATCCACGTGTATTCGTGCAAGCGTCAAAGATAAACAGATGTCGTTGATTTTTTTCTATAACCAAATATTTATTTTCTCTTATAAGTTTTCATTCCTCTTTTTAACAATAAAAGTACGCCACCCTGTAACAATTGTTTTTTTACTGAATTTCTTTATTTTATTTTGCAACTCAACAGTATGCATCATATGTTTGCTGAACGACTGCACTAATGTAATAATGTATATTTGATAATGAAAAAACAAAGTACTTGATAATATAGATGTTCTTTTGTTAAGAACAATTAGACTCTTAATAATTCTGTACTATAAATGAACTTATATAATTTTTATATTCATCAAACAGCATAAATGTCATTAAAATTTCAGACACAATGGAAATAAACAAAAGGATTATAACGTTTGACTCGGATAGGCGTCTGTAAAATATAGTTTGAGTAAGGTCTTGTTATTATAAAATTTGAATATCAGCAGATTCTCTTATTCATATCGATCCATCAAAGTTTAAAACATGCAACGCTTTTTAAACCTTCAATGTTAAATAATTCGTAGTGTTCAAAAATGATAGAAAGTATTTTATAGTTCTATAACGAAAGTATTGGATATAGAACTATAAAACACTCTCAAAATAAATTCATCCTAACTTTACATAAATACTACTAAATTCATCGATGCATTTTTTATGTAGAGAATGTACCTTAGTCAATTAACCATTCATATATATACCAGAGGTATAAACTAAAAACAGTTTGATTCTATGAACTTCTCGAAAAATGAATCGTTTTAGTTTGATTTCGAAAAAAAAACAGAAACCAATTTTACTATCTCTGATATGTAATACACTATAAAATATAGGTTAGGTAGGTGATTGAGATCGTTTGTTTAAGAATTTATTTATAGGTGATTATTACAACAATTATCTAAACATAAAATAATTTTTGGAAGAGTTTCAGTTGTTTTTTTTCTAAGTTTTTATATCAAGTTTTTTATTTTCAATCAATCATCACAGTCAAAAATAAAATAAAAAGAAATGAAAAAAAAAAATGGCAATTTTTGAAGAAATAAGCAAACGAAAGAATTTTATAGGTGAAAATATGGATATTGTTTCTTATATGCATAGATTTCAACACTTTCTCTTTTCTTCTATGCATAATATGGATATTTTTTTTTAAAAACGTAAAATATAAATTAAAAAATGTTTATGAAGGTAATAGAAACGCGAGAACAGAGAGAAAACAATTGAAAACCGAAACATACACACTATTATATTGATACATTTCACAATGTTATAAACAAAACGATGATATTTTTATAATCATATAAAATTTTTCCTAAAAATGAGTCTATCAGCAAGTACACTGAAAGCATTACTTGATAAATCAAATTTGAATGAAAAAGAAGGTCATCATTCACCATCAAAATTGCCGAATTGGTTACATGTCAATGGTGTCAGTGTTGATCATCCAAATAATTCTCATTTTTATCATTCATATCAGAATCAGTCTTATCGTGCTACAAATGGAAAGCAACAAACGAATACGGGTGGACAAGGTATCTATGCCACAACGCTAATGTTACTCGATCAACCAGATTCCATTCCAGTAACTAATGGAACAAATAACATTATGGATATGGATCCCACTCCATTAGATTTACTATCGCAACAACATCTTGAATATCCTAGACAACAATACTATAGTACACAACATAAACTCTTAGAAAATACGGATATACCAAAAAAAATGTTTATCGACAGACAGATTAAAAAAGCAAAATCATTACCTGGTTTACTTAAGTAAGTAGATAATGTATCGTTTTTATTCTAGTAAGTGAACAATTTGAAGAAATGTTGATAAATTGTAAAGGTATCGTCCCGATTCGTCGACAAATCGGACACTTCAGAGAATATACATCAAAGAATTTCAAAGGCGGGAGGGGCGGTGTGAGAGTGAGTGTCGACGAATCGGGACTGAATCATTGTAAAGCATTAATTGAACAGAAAATTGTTCTTGTTTTATATAGACAGATGATTGAAACTTGTTAAGATAAAACGTTCGTTTATTAACAATGTAGGCAGGTGACACCAGTTTCTTATTCACATAAGAAATGAGAAGACGTAGCAATTGAGTAGAGCCATGAGAAAAGGGGAGGAAAATTATGACGTTATAAATGAATTTGTGAAATAATCTAGTTTTGTTTTCATAAACATTTTTTTTGACATATCAGCAGCTTATATCGGCCAGTCGTCATGTCATCTTCTTCAATTGAGAGGTTACTTTATAAGATTGGAGAGGGAATTGATTATTTTTCATCGTGTTTCGATAAAGTCATTTTCTTGCTGTTCTCGTACACTTGTTTTATTCGAGTATTCCCGTTTCGTCGAAACATTTTTTTCCCAGTGTTCCTGTTTCGTCGAAAATAAAAATACCAGTGTTCCCGTTTCGTCGAAAACACAAATTAGTTGAATATAAATTGGTTTAATTGATATAAAAGCACTCTAAGCGAGTCTATAGAAAGAATTTACTAGAGAGAACTATTTTATGTGTATATACAGTAGTACAATAAGAAAAAAAAATCAAAATTTCTTAACGCCTACTAATCTTGACACTTTGTCGAAGTATTCTTCCAATGTCAATGTGTGTGCTTGATACGAAACGGGAACAGTGGAATTTTACCGTTTTCACTGCACTTATATATACTTCGATAAGACAATAGATTGGTCTCATCAGTATTCTTTTAATTAATTTCTTTTAGAAAGGTTAATATTAAGATGATCAAACAATTAGAATCAAAAGGCAATTAGAATTATTGAGCTTCTGCTAATTTTCTTTCATCTTCCTTTTTCGACGAAACGGGAACAGTGGTATTTTTATTTTCGACGAAACGGGAATAGTGGAATTTTTGTTTTCGACGAAACGGGATTACAAGAAAAAAAGCACTACAAAATGTTTCGACGAAACGGGATAATTAATTAAGCATTCGACGAAACGGGAATAGACCGTTTTATTTTTGTTCATCATCTCGTTCCAACAGTATATGAAAAAAGATGTATATCATATGTTGCAGGAGAAATTAAGATTCAGTGGAATTTAAAATTCTCCTAGTAGAAATTAACATTTTAATTTTTCCTAGTGGAGAGTTGAGTAAAAACAACTCAGTTAGCTATAACTTCGGATATCTGATTTTGAGCTTTAGTTTAATTTTAAACTGTTTGTGTAGATTATATATTATTTTTCTTAGATTTTAACAAGATGTCCTTCAAACGCTACTTCTACTCAGTTATAATTGTAAAATTGTTCAGAATCAGTTTTTACTTTCAAAAAAATGCAAAGAAACGATTACAAGTTTTAATGTTATAAACGGACAGTATACCGTTTTTTCTAAACAGAAGGAAACATTTATTGATCATGAACTCATCAACACAACTATTAATATACGAATTTCAATACATGCATCTTTCATCTCAAAAAAGCGTCAGAAATACTTGTTTAAGGTTCAGAACACATTACGAGATCACACTTTGAACTAGTTTGCAATTGCGCTGCGCACAAGTCGCGATGTCGGCAGATTCCATCTCTGACTGAATCTACTGTTCCAAGTAGATCCTATCAGTAGGCTCTGAGCATTGCATTTTTGCTTTTATTGACTCTTTGAACAGCTTATAAGATAGAAGAACAATGAAGGAAATTTGAAAAAGAGAGACTCTGACTAAATGGCACCGAACCAAGAATAAGAATCTAAGTCCAACAACCATTTTTCTGCCCACTTATGGAGCATATTTGGAGTAAAGATGGATGCATATCCACTGCCGAGTTTGGATCTTTAATGGAGTAAAGAACGTGCGATGGTCAATTTTCAGTTTCCGCAGAACACTGTCCCTCTTTGGAAACTTCTCTACGATGAGTAGTTTGCTAGATCATGGCGTTCTCTTTTGGCAAAAGAAAGAGCAAAATTCCCAGCATTTTCTGGGAATTAAAAAAAAGCTAAATGTCTGTCGACATAAAAAGTCTTAACTTATTTCTCTTTTAATTGTTAAGTTTATCCATCCCTCTTATTTTCACCAGTTACAGAATTAAGAGGCAAAGTCGAATTGACTTGAAATTTTACTAGAGTAGAATATAGTGTATGTTTACTCTGAGTTTCCGAATGATGGTTTTTCTAGAGACGTCAGTTTCCATTTGGTCTCGTTATCGAACAAATTTATTAGCTCTGCTTGAAAATGTTTCTGGAAGTACCTCTCGAGACATTACAAAGGTTTTAAAATGTTCTATCTCGTTTCTTTCTTGAATTATAGCAAAAATATTCAAATTTTTTTGAAAGTCTGTCGGTTTTAATTTTAAAAAAAAAGAGTAAGACTAAAAAGAAAAAGTTTTCTATTTTTCGCTCTGCAAAATAGCAAGTTCTGCTCGATGGATGAATGGAGACACTTAAAATAACCAACAGTAGAGCGCTTTTTTCTGCATGAAGTATCTCAGAGCGTAACACTTTCTGTTTGGAGAGTGCATTGAACGATTCTAAAAATCTTACAATTTTTAAAGAAACCATCGCTAAGAACTTCTAAAACGACAACTGCTAAACGTAAAAAATAGAGCAAACTATTCTCTCATTTCACTCAGTCAACTTATTATATCAGAAACGTATATTAGAACACTGCCAGAGTTGCCACATACAGAGATCTGAAAAGCAGAAAAAAAATTTTTGCATCATTGTTTCGAAAATTTTTCAAGACAATAATTACCTTTGTGTTTTAATTAGTTTGTGTTTTAGCAAATTTTTACGGATGAAAAAAACTCGAAAAAGGTAGCAACTCCTATACATTGTCTGAGTTATTAGCAGTCAAAAGAATCTGTCAAGAATTACTTAATGAAACTCATAATGTATCTGTTTTGATTATAGAGGCACAGCATTATCAAATACAAATCGTACTACACCACAGCAATCAAACAACAATTCAGCCACAATCGATAATACGATCGCACAACAGCAGCGAGAACAAGAACATCATATTAATGGAGACATGCGTAACATATTACCAGATTATTCTAACATATTTAATCAACAACCACAAACTCCAGGTACACAGGACTCTCTACAACAACAACGTCCATCTGAAAGTCGTCGACCACGTGTCTACTTTGCGGATTATGATAAAGTGAATTTTTACGACGATCCTTCGACAAGCAGACGATCTGGAGGACGTTCTAGAAGACAACTGCAACAACAACCAATCACTTCGATACCCACACAGGCGAGTTTATATCGACCTTATTCGAGACAATTTAAAATTCAACAGCAGCAGCAGCAATTATTATGCGAACAACAAGATCTAATGGATAACATTACTGTGAGAAAATTAGATACAATTGCTAGTCAGAAAGAGAAGCCGTCACCACGAATTTCATCCCATTTACCAGATATCAATCAACAAATTATTAATGATATACCTGTTAATGAAGAGAAAATAGATGAGAGTAATGATATCAAGAAAAAATTTGTACTTACTCGAGAGAAACCATTGATGAAACTTCCATCACAACAATCCAAAAAATTTAGTGATTTATCAAAATCACCAAAATCCTTTTATAATGATTATAATTCATCCGCTGAAATGTCTCGTGAATCGACCAGACATAGTCCAGACTATTTGCAATATGCTCATGATATGCATCTACAACAACAACAACAACAACAACAACAACAACAACAACAACAACAACAACAACAGCAACATCGATTAGATCCCTTGTCTGTTGCTGCTTATTCGTTTGCAAGTAACACAAACGGTAATAATCCATCGGACTTATCGCTATCAGGGATAAATTCATCCACATCGAGACAACGAGCACTACGCAGCATATCATTGAGACAACAGTTCAATAATCGTTCTCAAACAAAAAATAATAGCCCACCAAACAGACGTTCAGCATCCCTTCGACATTTGATTGATGACACCAGTTCGAATGAATATGTAGTTAAAAATGGCATTGCCATTATTAATCGATCAGGTGATCAAATGCATGATGAACTTCATCATACCCAATATGATCATAGTGCTTCAAGTAGTCGTCCGCCTACTGCATACCATCCAACTTCAACACCACTTCAACAACAAAATAAACCATCCGCTTCGACACTTCGACGAACGTATGTAATACATTTCAATTCAAAAAATTCTACTCCTCAACAACAACAACAGCAGCAGCAGCAACAAGCTTCTCTGAATGAATTACAAAACTTATCCAGTAGACAACTATTAAAATCTCATCTGTATGAAAATACAGAAGAACGTTTTCAAAATCTTTTAACAGTCGTTCGACCTCCTATTGTGCCATCAACAGATGAACAACAACAAGCAACGGATCTTGTTAAACCAAATTATTCATCAAGACAACCAAAATGGAACTCAACAGAAAAACATAATAATAATTTTAGAAATAGAGGACTAGAATTACATACAGATACTGTTATTGTTTAGTTATTATTATTTATGTAGATAACTTGGGGTCTGATTGAGAAATAAATTTTTAAACGAGTATATTTACTCTTTTCGTAATTATACTGTTTAACGTTATCAATTTGAATCACTTTATTCCTTCATTTGACAATCTTCGATAGACGAGATTGTACTACAGTAGTAGACATAAATAAAATACTTAGTAAAAAAAGAGAGGTTAATCAACGATCTCTATGAATATTTGCTATATTACACACTGTTCTTATCATTCTTGAAAAACATAGTGTCAAAAGGTTTATCATGCGACTAAGCTTTATTGTTAACTAATAATACCTTTTTTCTTCATAGAGGTTGAATTAATGCTCTCTTTCTAGCAATTTGTTTAAAATTGTATGAATCATATACTCCTTCGACCATGATAAAAATACTTTTATTTATAATAATTAATGTAATATGTAGTATTAACAGTTTTCTGCTATTGTTTTCTTGTACGTATATTTAAATTTGTTTACACGACACATTTGATTTACCGTTATTAAATATTTCTTTTTTTCCAGGTACATATTGACTTTTTGAATAAAGTTTCTGTTGTTTTTTCTTTCCTTATAAATCAACATGTTCGAATAATTCTCCCACACGAAATATCAATCGTTTATGCAGTCAATTGTGGAACTTCAAAACCGACTTATGTAAGAGGTAAAAAGTGTTTGATTTACTTCGGGTCTGGTATACACTTTCTTTCTTCTTTTTTATCTGAACCCAATAACTCATCGCTCAGAATGATTGGCCAATATTTAGGGACTTTTGAAGATGACGTAAGTGTTATTGTATTGACATTGTATTGACAAAGACAATAGTCTCACGCAAGTGCCTCCAGTATTACATGCGCTAAAATCTGTAAAAGAATTTACTAAATGCATCCCGTAGTACTACCAAGTAGGCGTACATCGGTATTTACTTATACTTGATCCTTTATATATAACTTTACCCTTTTTCCTGAATCAAATTGCTTACAAAGTACAATATATTAAAGTTATACAAAAGGCTTTTTATGAAAAAAACTCACAATTACAATCGCTAAATACCGGTGCATGCCCACCAGGCATGGGCGAGTCCGGACTGGAAGATTTTTTAGCAGACTTGGACTCGGACAGGAGATTTTTTTGAAGGACTCGGACTCGGACTCGAACTTGAGTTTTTGTATTTCGAGTCGGATCTATTCAACTTTTAACGCAAATGAACGGAGAAAAATGAAAAGCGAAATAATAACACCTTCTATTTCACAAGAAATTGTAATTTTGTTCTGGAGGCGGACATGCAAAGTAACCCTATTTTCGAAAAATCAAATATCTATCCAAAGCTCAGTAAATTAAAAAAGGGAAATAAACCACACTCATCAAAACAGAATCTAAAAGATTACCGGACTTGAAATGGACTCGGGACTCGGACTCAGTCCTTAATATTATGGACTTGGACTCGCTACCCCCTCGGACTCGCCCATGCCTGATGCCCACACTCAAAAATACGTAAAATTGTTTTCTACAAAAGCCGTGTGAAGCATGGTCACCAATAGGTTGATAACTATGAGTTTTGATGTTTAAAAGGAGCTTATGAGTGCGTGCTGTGCACTTATTCAAAACTTTCAAGCGTTCTCGTACTGAAGGAATTCCCTATGAAGAATTTGGACAATTCTTAGATAATAATAAGAAAAAATGATTATTATCTAATTAATTAATTAATTCAGTTTCTTTCAATTATTTAAGTTCAATAACTGAAAGTATGCTCGTTTCGATGTTTTTTATTTGATGCTCTTTCAACCACAGATTTCTACTGAAATTTGGTACCGTTCTGCATTAAATAAACGTCGTGTTATAATGTTTTTATCCTATCAGTTCAAAACGACAACGTGAGTTATGTACATTTAATACTTGTTTACTTTACAATACATATGAGTGATTCTAGTGATTTTTGTACCGTTCGACCTAAGCTAATGATCCCGCATGGTTCTCCGTTAATACTAAATCAAACTTTTGGAAGTTTATGCCATTTTATTTCGGACACTTTACTCTATATATACTGCTAAGATCTCTTTTCTGTCTTATTTCCTTAGTATACAGTAAGCAAAACACTTTGTTTTTTGGTTCTTTTTCTGTTCTTTTCTTAGGGGTTCCTGCGCGTTCTTTTTTCTTAATTAACATTTTTCTTCTTTTAAGGTGGGCGAGCTTTTTGTGCAGTATTTTATCTGCTCTGTCAATCTGCAGTCTTAGTTTTGCCTAATCTTTTTTAGTTTCTGTGAAAAGTTCGATGGAATTTGTGGTCCTAGAAAAGTTCAAAAATCGTGTCCCACCTCCTTTTGAGTCTACTGCGCAGCCAATAAACACTTTAAGTCGAATTACATGAAAAAGTTCACCAAAGTAGGCACTATGATTTGTTGAAACCGCAAGTTAGTAGCCAGCTGACGGTTATGCTTTTTTAGCCGATAAGCAGTTAAAACCGCATTTTCGATCCTGAGTCAGAAAGTGATCAACTAGAATTTTGACTGAGAAGGACTTGGTAGTTTGGAAACAGAGTTTTTTCGAGACTTTCAAGTACCCTCTATAAACCTGCAGTGTTCAAACATTTTTCTGAACATTTTCATTTTGGGTCATTTTTTTCTTTAAAAACGGTACAAAAATCACCAGAATCATTCATATGTAATATTCATTACACTCTTTCGCAATAAAATGAATAAATAACTGATTCATCTTCATATAAAACCTATAAAATCTTTCTTTCTCTCTCTCTATATATATACAGGTACAATATACATCGACCGTTTCTTTAAAAACGTAACAGAATGGTTGTTGAGCTATTAGATTTACCCACAGAAATCCTAGAACGCATTTTATTCTACGTTGTTATTTTACCATGTGAAAATGATGTAAATGATTTTCTTTCTGTCACATCAACATGTAAAAAATTGTTCGGATTTTCAAACGATGAAAGAATTTGGAAACTACTATCAAAACGAAGATGTCCCGATGATAAAAACGAAAGTGAAACATGGTTCGAACGTTGTACGCAAGGTATGTGATTGAATATTTTATTGACATGATTTTCTAATCGCTCTCACTTCTAGTTTATTGGACTCGTACTCTAGCTCCTAAAGATTTGATAGAAAATGTTAGTCTGTTTGATCATAACTATTATTGTACAATTCAAAAAATTGAATTAACGCCATATCTTATTAGACTCTACATTGATGAACGTGGAGATAATTCGTTTGGTAAGTTTTTAATTCTCTAATAGATATTGTATTCGATTATTTTTCTTTGAATTGAAGGTTCAATTCAACATCCCAAGCATTCTCGACTTTTCAAATTAGTTAATAACTCTGATATTCAAGTTAGCTTTTATAATTTCCAATTTTTTATTTATAATGAAAAACAATTTTTAGGTATGAAAATTTTGATAAGAATAAATCTGTATATGAAACTCAACTTAAATTTAATTATATTTAGTAATTTTACAACCGCCTTCTTAGTTACTAGAGACTCAGACAGAATTCATTTCTGAAAGAATCAAAGAAGATACCACGACCGGTTTCGATCTTTCTCAAGGGTCTCGTCAGGTGGTTTCCTTCGAGAAAGACAGAGTTAAGGCACGACAAGCAACACAAACTCCGTCCACATCGTATGAGGGTGTTACTATTCCTTGTTCTTATCGAACAAAGAACGATAACTTTCACACGACGAGAGCGAAGCACGATATCACTGTACAATGTACATGTTCTGCTTCTCTACATTAAGGGTACCCCCCCTCTTTTTTCACCTTGTTGCCAAATGCGGAGTACATGTCCGATTGAGCTCAAATTTATAGCAGAGATAGAACATCGAAAAAGAAAATCGATGTATTTTTGCACAGAATTTTGTGACGTGTTCTTCTATGGGTTTTCAAGAAAACTCTGGTTTTCATCCAGTCACATTACGACCCCTCGAAAAAATGGTCCGATCGAGCTCAAATTTTTACCACAGATACTTTAGGCCCTATCTCAGGTTCGTTTTTTTCTTTTCAAAAAATA